GGGATGGTGCACATCTGCAGTCCCAGCTACTTGGAAAGTAGAGGCGGGAAGATCACTTGAGCCTAGGACTTTGAGGCTGTAGTAAGGTATGATCGCACCGCTGCACTCGAGCCTAAGCAACAAAGCAAAACCCTGTTTCTAAAACAAACAAATAAACATCCATGAAATGAGCCAAGCATGCTGGTGCACACTTATAGCCCCATCTCCTCCGGAGGCTGAGGTGGGAAGATCACTTGAGTCCAGGAGTTCAAGGCTGCAGTGAGCCATGACTGCACCACTGCTCTTTGGTGTGCACAACAGAAAGAGACTCCATGTTTTGTTTTGTTTGTTTTCAAGGAGTCCATGTGAAGTCACAGAGACATAGAAAGGAAGGCAATGTGAAGATGCAGGCAAGGAATAGAGTGACACATTCACAAGCTAAGGAATGCCAAGGATTGCTATCAAGCACCAGAAGCTAGGAAAAAGCAAAGAAGAATGCTCTACAGCCTTCAGAAGAAGCATGGCCCCCATGACACCCTGATTTCAGACTGCAGGCTCCAGAACCATGAGAGAAAAACTGCTATTTGAAGCCACACAATCTGTGGTACTGGTATGGCAGCCCTAGGAAACTAACATACCAGATAACTCACGTGAACTATATACTGTAAGAGTATAATAATCACAATTGCAAGAACTACCAAAACAACAACAAATCCATACATAGTCAATATAATTTACTTTTATACAATAATCACCATTTTGAATGCTGACCATTTACCAATCAATCCGCTCATCCCAATCAAATTTCCTATAACACGTACATGAGATTAATCTTCAGAGAACAGAGATTTTTTTACCATTTTAAGTCCTTTTTCAAAAAATCTTCCATGACCATGAATTTATCTTAGCAAGATATTAATAAAACTTCTGGTTCCCTATAAGTTGTGATGAAGAAGAAAATAAGTATTCGTAAAGATATATACATCCACCCTATACTATCCTATAGCAATTATTAGTAGGGTTGGTGAAAATTAATTTAATGGAAAATTCTTTATGGCTGTGTTGATATTTCCTCATCAGTCAATTATCCCTTTTAAATATGGTATGAAGTCTTAGAGCGGAATTGAGAGAATCTTCCATGTTACGGATCCAGTTCCTTTACCTTACATAATGCTTACCACTCATCCTGAATCAAGGCTTTCAGGATATCCTATTAATCCTCTTAACAAATTGGTTTATTTCTCTCCAAACATCTTCGGTCCTTTGGCACCTCCATGGTTTCGGGTTTTTTTCCCCCTACTCCATTAACTTTGTCCGAAATACCTGACTTTCCTATCTTCAGCTAATCCAATCCTAGCCAGTCTTCTAAATCCAGTTCACATCCAGTCTCCAGGGAGCCATCCTAGACCATTATCTCTCACTGTCTTCTGACATCACTGCTTTGCCAACACCACACTCATTGGTGTAACGGTACTTCTGCGATTATTTGTTGACTTTGCATTACTTATTCCATAACTTCATTTTTCATTTTAACTCCCTAAGTGAAAAATAAATACTTTGAGAACAGAAGCCACACTATGTTAGAATTGAGCATAACCTTTTGTACAGAGCTGATATTCAAATATTTGTTAGTTGGCTAAAATACATGAGATGTAAAAATGGAAAGTTTAAAGTTTTACTTCAGCATGAATAGCAGCACAATCTGCCTGACTTCTCTATTAAAACAGAAGACATTTCTGAAAAAGCTCAAGATAAATTAAACTACTGGCATAAATTTTTCCCCTATAGAAGGTCATTCTATTTGAAAAACATTTTGAATGGTAAAAGAACTGTACAAATAAACTATCTCAGAATTTAAGCACGTGATTATTACAATCAGCTATATTAAGTAATAGTGCTTGTACTTTAATCAATAAACTATTTAACAAATTATTCATTGAGTTCCCAATTTGTATACAAGCAGTCACAATAAGATCTACCAGGAAGAAAGATGAATAAAAGACTAGTCAACTCTTCAACATCCAACAGTTTAATGGAAGAGACAGACTTAAAAACACTTCACAAGCAGAATTTAAATACACAATACAATATAGCAAATCTACTGAGTACCATGTGTGACTGATTTCCATTGGTAGGGCTCAGGAACCATCGCCAAAAATAAAAATGTAAACAAAAAGATAACATTTGAATGAGGTGGGAAAAATAATTACAACTTTGTAGACCAAGATGGCAGAGAGGGATTCTGGGCTGTATGATCAGAAAGAGCAAAAGGCAGAGATAGAAAATTACTCACCCCATATCTTTAGCTTCTCTTAGTAGGTGACCTCACCTGCTAGCTCACAGGAAAAAGTAAAAGGCATTCCTCTCCTATATCTCAAAATTGAATGACATTCCTCTCTCCTTTCTTTCTCTCTCAACTGTCCCCATTCTTTCCCACAGCTAACTTTCCCACATTGTTCAGGACCCTCTTGCTGCTTGTCTCCTACCAGACCCTGCTCCACTGCTCATGCTCTCCCTCCTCCTGCTCTTTGTGGCCACATTTTTGAAATAATGGTCTCTAGGTCTTATCTCTACTTCATCTCTAATTCACTACCTAGCTGGATAAGTTTGTCTCTATATCCTACAAAATGTGTTCTTTTTATTCAGTAAAATCAAGTGAAATAATAATGTTACTTTCTGATTTCACACTTTCTTAGTTTTAAAATAAGTTAACCACTATTTCTTCTTAAAATGTATTGGCTATATTCGGGAAACGGAATATATAGTCTCTGACTAGGATTTCTCATGTCTAAAAAGTAAATTATTAAACAGCTGAGACAGCATTTTCAGTAAAGAGCCTGTTATTGTAGGGATCAATGAGAATCCTGAACCTGAAACATGCTGTTCTGTCAGTGTACCTTTTGCTAACTTAGAACTTGTTCTAATTCTGTAGATGAGAAGAGGTAGGGTGTGTAACTCATCTTCCTCAACAATACAAAGGTGGTACTTTTAAGGAAATCATTTCATATAAGCTAGGGTCCTCAATCTTTTTCAGAAGACTGGAGTAAGTTAAGGTCTCACCGTATACTGACATACTTGAAAAGATTGGCCCTGATTCATATTCTGCTTCTCTGGCAGTTTCATTTACTGCAGGTTAAATAATGGCTAAGGTGGTTTCTCCTCTTACATAGAATAAATAGCTAGAATTCTCCACAACTTACTTTGTTCATCTTTCTTGCCTTCAAAGCCACATTTATCAGTATCCATAAACCACCTACACTGATTTCAAAACTGCAACAAACCACTCCTATGTTATATATAAACCTAAGTCTTCTCACGAACAGTGAGCATAATGGATACTATCCTGTAACTGTTGGGTAATGGAGGGATCTCAGTTCATCTTTTCAGATTTTCTTTGCAATGAACACTTCAGAAGTCCATTGAATAATCCAACGATCTCCCTTTATCTTTTAAAAATAAATTTATCTCATACATACTCCTCCTTTTTAAAATGGCTCTCCTTAGACAACTTTGTATCGTAAACTTCTATCCACCTAAGAAACACAGTTTACAGATCTACCAAATGTATTGAATATTGCAGAAATTTCATAAATACCTGTCAATAGGCTGATTTATATTTAACAATATTATTAATAGTCCCAAAAAGGCCATCAAGCAAATGTTTTGACTAAAGATCAAATAGAAAACTTCAGACCCAGTAACATTTGTAGGGGCTAGGGCAAGATTACAAATAGAGGCCCATGTCCCATGTTTACATATTTAAAAGTTACAAGTCCAGTTGAACTAGTAAATAAAATATGGTCTCATCTTCCAATCTTGACAAATACACCTTTCACCAGTTGGAGGTACACAGGTTCAAATTTAGAATTCTTAGACTCCTTGAAGTTCCATGCCATATTGTGGTGACACTGGGGCTAGCCTACTCCCCCCTTTTTGTTCCCCAGTTTTGTCAAGACCTTGAGGGACCTTGCACTCAAGTGTGGACATCCTGTCTACCACAAACTGCTACCTCTTTGCCACCTCTCAGGCCTAAAAGCATATTCACTGGTTTTATCTAAGGACTGATCCAGGAAAAAGGCCAGTGAAGACTTTGGAAGCAGATTCTAAGCAGCTTGGGGGCAGGAAATTCCAGAGTTTTGGTAGGGGGATTATGAAGTGGGAGAGAGGGAGGACTTGGGCTGATCACATCCCCTTGGCCCTTCAGATCCTTCACCTTATGGGGAAGTGTGAACAAAAAAGGGCCTTCTAATTAAATTCATGGGTTCTGAAGCAGGACTTTTCTTGCCCAGGACTAAAAGCAATGCTGGATAATTTACCAAATGGAGAATTTACCAGATCAGTCACGTTACTGTTAGTATACTAGTTGAAACATAATATGTAGAAAGATTAAGTAGATAAATAAAATCCAAAATTCCAATCTTTAATCACATTAATTCCTCCAACATCTATAATCAAAGGGTCTAATATTTATGTGGATCTACTCTATAGACTAAATCAAGACTCCATGCTGTTTTCGCAATTCATACAAATTTACAGAATTCTATTCAGATGCTAGATGGAGCTGGAAAAAAAACAAGAAGCAGAAGGAAGAGAGAAAGAACACAGAGTATCAAAGACCAGATCAGACATGCAGACATAAGGGAAAGCATTTTCCTCCTGTTCAGTTGCTTATGTGGCAAAGCTTAAGGCACCATGATTAACCATCTGATTAAAGCCGCTAGTATCACAGCTTGCTCTCGCTAATGCAGATTCATGAAGTTTACTCACTGGCCTCCGAATGCCCCCATCCTAGCCACTGTGTTACAGGGTAGGTCAAGCTGAACTTTGTCAGCACTTAAGTGGATACTGATAATAGCTCTCCCTATATTAGAATCTCTTACCTCAACATAACTTGCTATGCTGCAATTTTCACTCTACTTAGCAAGAAAAGTATTGTTAATTTGAAAAAACTAATAAATACATATACATACTCCACAGGAAGGGAAGTATTTCAACTGGAAATCTTATTTATGTGTACTTACTGAGATTGTACCATTGTCTAGACCTATGGACAGTCTTCTTGTTTCCGGGTTAAAAGACATGCATGAACATGGAGCTGAAAGAAATGAACATGTTGATGAAATTAACAAAACCATGATTCTCATCGATTCAGGCATGCCCAACTAGCTAAAAGTGTGGAGCTGTATTTTCCCACTATCTCCTAGAAAACATTTCATTTAACACCCACTCACCAAAAAATAAGAACAGTAATTTTACAGCCACCCCATAGTTGTTGAGTTATCCTTTTAATGAATATAACAAGATATTCTCAAACTGGACAAGTTCCAAGGGGCTTGGTGGCTGGTTCTGTCAGTATGGAGTCTAAATTTGCTTGACTAGATTAACAATACTTTGTGCTGTGTAATGTTTCTCTTACCACTCTCTATGTACCACTCCAATTCCATCTTAAATAGAAATAACCTATCCTTTCTGAACTACACAAACGAAAGATCTTATTATCCCTCCACCCTCCCTACCCACATACAGACACATACATATATGAGTACAGACTCTATTTTTTGATTCAGAATTGATTTGGGGTGTGTGAATTAACAGGAACTTTTTGCTCTGGGCCTTTGAGGGTATGCTGGAGTCTGCTGATTAAAAATGGCTGAGGTGTATTTCTCAATCTAAAAAAGAACCAACTCATCATAGGGCTAGACACTGTAGGAAAGAGACCAGGTGAGTCAGTACACCCAGGACTGATCTGGGTCTCCCTGTTCTGCAAGACTGACTGCCTGAGGACACCTGGGCCTAAGTAAATTAGGTATGCTTGGAAGCCATGTGTGGTCAACAAGTGCTTACTACACATTCAGCTCCTACACCCCTGCCTTCTCAATCTTTGACAATTTACCCAATACTGAAATATTTGATAGTTATTCTAAGGAGTCCAACACAGTTTTTATATGTCTCCCTTCATATTCACAAAAGCTACATAGATCATGAACTACCTATTACCATAATCACAGTCAGCATCAAATATTTTTATTCCTACTTTTCACAGTTATGATTAGATATTTTACCCAAGGTAACATAGGAAACCGTTGGAAAAGACTCAAAGACATCATTCAAACGTACAGTCCCATTTTCAAACAACCGACTTAGATTATTTTTAACCTAGAAAAGAACTTCAAGTTCTACTGACAGCCACTTCATAAACATATCACTTAGTAACATATTTTTCACTCTCTATAAAAGGGCCCTGAATAAAACAACAAACAGATCTTCTAAACTGAAATTTAGCTTTTTCTCATTTTCTATCATGATATATTCAGAAATAAAAACATGCTAAAAAGAATTTCCCCCTAAAACTTCTAGCAGTACAACAGACTTCTTCCTACTTGGTTACAAAATAAAACCAGATTCCCAAGAGTACACTGCTGAAAACAGGAATCAAATGATATTTAATACACTGCCCTAAGAAAGTCAGTTTTATTGCCCTTGACCTGTAAACTATGTTGGCACAATTTCCATACAACAGTAAGATGCCAGGTCTCAAAATCCCATAACATATGTGCAGAATTAAAATCTAATAAAGTCATGGAAAATTATCATGTTAGCTGAAAAAATTCTAATGAAAAAAACACACAGTTATTACAACTGTGTAAAGTACATACACACTTAAAAGTATAGGGTACATAAAATAACTATTCTTGTGTTCAAGTGATAAGATTATTTCTATAACACTGTCTTTACTTTTATTTTGCTATTCCTATTAAAATTAATTTCAAGTATGTCATAATTTATGAAGCCATAAGTATGAGCATATGAAGCAAAACTCTACTTCAGCCCCAAGGGGCTAGTGACTAGCCAGGAACAACCTTATTTGGCTGCCCACTTGACCATCTGAAAGTATTTCCTGTGTGATTTCCTCCAAAGTCCATATCCAGTTATGCTATAATTAGAAAATCCACTGAACTTTGAATGTAATTTAAAATACTTTTATACAAAAAGCATAGGCTACTCTTAGATCTTCATGGTCATTCCTTTATTCCTTGTTTTTCCCCCCAATTTCGTATATTTCTTGTTATTCTCTCAAGAAAAATTTAGAATGCTTACTATGTTCAAGGCCTGTCCTACAATTATATATAAGGTATTATTGCTACCATCAAAAAATCAAAAAAATTATACATTGTGAAACCAACTGTATATAGAAACTGCAAGATACTTTCACCCTATTGGTTCAAATCATTTTATGCATAGTAAGAAACAGGACCAGAATTAAAAGCAAAGGACTATTCCTATAATAAATGAATTCAGCAAAGTTTCAAGATACAAAATTAATGTATACAAATCAGTAGCTCTGCTATACACCAACAATGACTAAGCTGAGAATCAAATCAAGAACTCAACCTCTTTTACAGTAGCTGCAAAAAGTAAAATAAAATATTTGGGATACCAAATCAAGGAGGTGAAAGACCTCTACAAGGAAAACTACAAAATACTGCTGGAAGACACAGATGACACAAACAAATGAAAACACATCCCATGCTCATGGAGGGGTAGAATCAATATTGTGAAAATCCCCATATTGCCAAAAGCATTCCACAAATTCAATGCAATTTCCATTAAAATACCACCATCATTCTTCACAGAACTAGAAAAAACAATCCTACAAGTTATATGGAACCAAAAAAGAGCCCACATAGCCAAAACAAGACTAAGCAAAAAGAACAAATCTCAAGGAATCACATTACCCGATTTCAAACTAAATATATAGTCATAGTCACCAAAACAGCATGGTACTGGTATTAAAACAGGCACACAGATCAATGCAACAAAAAAGAGAACCCAGAAATAAATACAAATACTTAGAGCCAACCAATCTTTGATAAAGCAAACAAAAACATAAAGTGGGGAAAGACAGCCTATTCAACAAATGGTGCTGGGATAACTGGCAAGCCCCATGTAGAAGAATGAAGAATGAAACTAGATCCTCATTTTTACCTTATACAAAAACCAACTCAAGATGAACCAAAGACTTAAATCTAAGACTGAAACCATAAAAATTCTAGATAATAACACTGGAAAACCTTTCTAGACATTGGCTTAGGCAGACTTCATGACCAAGAACCCAAAAGCAAATGCAGGTTGACTGAGGTGGCTCACGCCTGTAAACCCAGCACTTTGGGAGGCTGAGATGGATGGATCACGTGAGATCAGAAGATTGAGACCAGCCTGGCCAAAATGGTGAAACCCCTTCTCTACTAAAAATACAAAAATTAGGCAGGTGTGGTGGTACATATCTGTAGACCTAGCTACTTGGGAGGCTGAGGCATAGGAATTGCTTGAACCCGGGAGGCAGAGGTTGCAGTGAGCTGAGATGGCGCCACTGCACTCCAGCCTGGGCGATAGAGCAAGGCCTTGTGTCAAAAAAAAAAAGAAAAAAGAAAAAAAAAGGAAATGCAAAAAAAAAACCCCGAAGATAAATAGATGAGACAAACTAAAAATCTTCTGCACAGCAAAAAAAAGAAAAAAGAAAAAAAATCAGCGGAGTAAACCAACAACCCAAAGAGTTGGAAAAAATCTTAGCAATTTATACACCCAACAAAAGACTAATATCCAGAATCTACAAGGAACTCAAATAAATTAACAAGAATAAAACAAACAATCCCATAAAAAAGTGGGCTAAGGACATGAATCAACAATTCTCAAAAGATTTATACAAATAGCCAACAAACATGAAAAAATGCTCAACATTCACTAATGATCAGGGAAATGCAAATCAAAACCACCATGCGATACCACCTTACTCCTGCAAGAATGGCTGTAATCAAAAAATCAAAATATAATAAATGTTGTCATGGATGTGGTGAAAAGGGGACATTTCTGCACTGCTGTTGGGAATACAAACTAGTACAACCACTATGGAAAACAGTATGGAAATTCCTTAAAGGTGCAGCTCCAAGTGCTGGGTGGACTCTTTAAATGCTATAAGACAAATAATTCATAAGGTAATAAAGTAATAATTGGTCTCTATGACATCTGAATATGCAAATTACAGACAAATTGGCTGGAGACTTGTCAATTCCCTGACCTTAAAAGTGCTTTCTTTGACTTCCCCTCCTCTGCCACCAGCACTTTGGTTCAGATACTGCACTTCTCCCATGCCCTCTGCAACCCACAGACCAGGAGATCCCCACTGGGCTGAAAGGCTTCATGAGTTACCAACACAGATCTGAGTGGCAGCTCTGGCAGGCGCCACAGGTTGTTGGCACAGATCTGGGTGAACGTTTTGACTAGCACCAAGAGTGCCTGCAGGACGGAGCTACTCTCTTCCCAGAAAGAGGGGGAGTTGAAAGCAGGGAGACAGGTGATACATCTGGGCGGAACCCACCCCCACAAAGACCAGCAAACTGAAGCCCTCTCACTTGAGAGTCTCACAGCCAGCACATCAGTTCGAGCTTGACCAGGGACAATTGAGCTTGGTGGAGGGAAGGGTGTCTGCCATTGCGGAGGCAGGTCTAAACGTACCTGTGTAAACAAAAGCCAGAGGAAGCTTACACAGCAGCTGGACTGAGTCCGAGACAGCCCAGCAGCATCTCTGCAGGCAGACAGGGAACAGACTGCCTCCTGAAGTGACTCCCTGAACCCTGTATAACCAAAAAGACATCTCGTACAGGAGAGCTCTGGCTGTCATTTGGTGGTTACCCTTCCAAGATGAAGCTACCAGAGGAAAGATCAGGCAGCAATACGTGCTGTTCTGCAACCCCCACAAGTGATTCCCAGGCAAGCAAGGTCTAGAGTGGACCTCCAGCAGTGCTACAGCAGAAGGACCTGACCTTTAGAAGGAAAATTGAAAAACAAAAAGAAATAGCTTCAACATCAACAGAAAGGAGGTCCACTCAGAGACCCCAACCAAAATCACCAACTTCAAAGATCAAAGGTAGATAAATCCATGAAGAGGGGAAGAAACCAATGTAAAAAGGATGAAATCATCAAAGACCAGAATGCCTCTCCTCCTCCAAGGGATCACAACACCTCACCAGCAAGGGTACAAAACAGGATGGAGAATGAGTTTGACAAACTGACAGAAGCAGGATTCAGAAGGTGGGT